TGCAGGGTTATTACTGAGTCTGAGAGAGCTTGGCTGTGCATGCACTTACTGCACACTTAATGCATTTTCTAAAATACAAGCTCAGGTTGTTATTAAAAATTCTATAAAACGGAACAATTACCAGCAAAATGCAATTTTCTCTTTCTCATAAAAATCTGTGATTTATAATATTATCCTCTCCTCTTCCATTGTCTAGGCAGCTAGTTAGTGTGGAATGCTAATATATAGCAGTAATTAAAACCTTATAAAAAGATGCTATAAAGATGAGACTGATTCCTCCCGAAGTGCTACTTTGGGAGGGTAGAAGGGTAGGCCCAGGGTGTAGCCCGTTCTTGCATTTCCACAACTTTTGTTTTACCAGAAGTTTTACCTCAGGTAAGTGTCCAGGAACGTGGAGGCCCTTCCTCTTCATTGGACCCATACAGAGTCCAACACAAATTCCTTGGCAAAAATGAGACTACCAGATGCAGCAGCAGCTTTCTCAGAGCCCCAAGGGTTCCTGTGCAATGCTTTAGATTTTGCCAAAGATCTCTGATTGAAAATCCAAGCCAGCCACAACTGGATAGTGCCAAGATCATGACTTATTTATTTGATCCCTGGGAGCAAATTTTTGCTGGTGCAGATGTGCCCCACCGTACAAAGTGAGACAGGGTCCCAAGGGTAAGACTCTTTCCCAGGAAGTATCTGTCTACAGGTGCCTGGCCCCCAATGTCCACTGAGCCAGCTGCTTGGGATACACTCGGAAAGAACTTATATCTCAACACCCAGGCATTACTCAAAGCCATTAAACCAGAATTTCCAGAGCCTGGGCATCAGGATTTGTTCCTCTACCCATTTAGTGAAAACATGGAAATAACATCTGTACAGTAAATGAAAAGCTTTCTGAATTTTGGCATCTATTCACCATATAGCCACCACCAAGATCAGACTTAGAACATCTGCAAACCCCTTCCTAGCCAAGACCTTTTCCTTCCCATTAATTGCTTTTGCTTGTCTTTACCACCATAGGATCTTCATCATAAAGCGTGTTCTGCATGGCTCTGTCACAGTGTGTTGAAGTGTCCTTCTCTGAAGTGTCCTTGGGTGGTCATGTGTTCTTAGTCCTCCTGATATCTGTAGGGCAGAGGAAATGTGTTGGATCACATGGTAAATTCTCAGCCCACTAGAAGATTCTGCCAGCTTTCCAAAGGGGGTGAATCAACACTCTCCTCTGCCTTCAGATAGGGTCCCGTTTTACTCCACATCCTTGCCAGTATCAGTATTGCCATTTGTTCAAATAACAAAAAAGAAATCTCACCACTTGCACATTGGCCACTTGCACATTGTCTTTTGTAAAGCATCTGTTCGCATCTGTGCCCACTTTTGAACTGGAGTATGTGTGTGTTCCTGAGTGATTTTATCAATTCTCTCTCTGTTCTTGCCACAAAGTCTCTGTCAGATGTACGCAGTACACCTGTCTTCCCTCATTCTGTGGCTAACCCAAGCATTTTCTCAGTGACACCTTTTGATGAGCAAGAGTTTTTAATTTTAAGGAAATCCAATTTGTCGCTTCCTTCTATGTGCTATTTATGACCTGTTTAAAAGACCTTTGTCTACCTCAATGAAGATATTTCTGTGTTGACTTCCAGATGATTTTTTTAAACATTTAATTCTATCATCCACCTAAAATTAGCTTTTATGAATGGTATGAGGCTAACAGGAATCCTCCTCCTCTCAACACTTCACGAAGCCCCTCCAGGACCCTTCCTCCAGGAAAATGAGTACCCCTAGAAAACACACTACATCCTTCCTCATCTCCCACATATCTACTGGAAACCAGCCACCTCCTCTGGCATGTGAGATACACTGGTGTTCAGGTTACCTGTGGACAGAGCTTATAGGCAGGAGAGCCCCCTGACATGCAGATCCTTCTGGAAGAAGATAGGTGGAGGTGGAGTGAGCTACCTCTGTCATAGGGGAGGGCCTGTTACTTGGGTCGGGAGGCCTTTGCAGATTAGGACACCTGTCCTTCTCTAAGGACACATGCTATGGGGTAATAATAGACACTCTGCCAGTACCTTAGGCAGAGATCCTGTATGTAATACCGAAGTACAGCCAGCACAGGTGGGAGCAGCCACAAATGAAAGTAACCACACCAGGGTGATGCATCCTGTGAGAGAAGTGTCCTTGATGGGCATTGTGTATCTGGGACATCAGCACTGCAGGATGGTGACTGGATCATGTCAGAATGCTTCACCATCAGTAGGAGTACCTGTAAAGTGCTGTCACCAGGCTACACCTTGTGCAGGGGGTGGGCTAGGAGTCTGCCTGTTGACTGATGCAGAGTTGTCCAGGACCACCTGCTTTGCAGCACTGGGCCAAGCATGCATGCTGTGTGCTTGGAAGGGCAGAGATGAGTCAAGGTGCAGAGGGCCATCTTCTTTCCTGACTGAACAAGGACCATTCTCCCAGCCTCCTACACACCCCTTCCCTGGCAACCCAGCATCACAAAGGACCTCCCTCTGGTTTCCAGACAGCCTCTGTAACTGGGAGTGAGGGGCAGTATGGGGAACTGGGTTGGCAGAGGGAGCTCATGAGGCAACCTGCAGGCTCCTGTAAGTATTGTGAATCGTATTCTTATTCCAGGGGAATAAGATCTGATCTCTTTGTAAAAGCTGACTCTTTGGGTGAAGGGGACACAGTGGGCTGGTACAGGAGAGGACATAGGGAGATCGTTTAGAAGCCACTGCAGCCATCCCGGTGAGACTGGTGACAGGATAACTGACTCATCCTGGTTTACCAGGACCCCCCAGTTTCAGCTTTGGAAGTCCATGTCCCAGGAAGTCCCCAGTTCTGGGCTTGCTTGGAGGCTGGGCACCTTGATGTCGGCAGGGGGATGGCTGGGGTGTGGGACAGGCACAACGTGGTCCTCTGGACTCTCCAGCCCCATGGAGGGAAAGGGTCAGCTGCTACTAGAGCCTTCAGCCTGTGGCATTACTAATAGACACTTGGTTAAACCCTTTGCAAGAGTGGAGCCATGTGTGTGGGTGTGGGTCTATACATGTGCAGGAAGCCTCCAACCCTGCATTTCCTGCCATAGCTTCACAGGCTGGTCACATGAGCATTGGTCACCATGCCATTACCCATGTTTGAATGTGTGCTCTGGGTCAGAAGCAGCTCATTGTGAGTGGGGATCCGTCCAGCTCCACAGAGCTTCCTGATCTGGGCCAGACCTGGCATCTTGCAGGCACACACTGTCCTTCCCACCAAGACCCCAGGCCTGAGGTAGAAGGAGTGGAAGACACTGATACACGTGCTCTGCTGAGGACTCTCAGTGTGAAGGATCCGCTGCTCTGGGAGATTTTGTCACCAATTCCTAAGTGAGCATCCTGTGCCCGTGTGACAGCACTGTTCCCACATTTCCTTGGTTGGGGGTCATGGGGCTTTGTGTGGGCAGACTGTTTACCTTTCTGCCTGGTGGCTTCACCTACAGATTGGCCCTGTACTCCAAACTAGCTCCCAAGTGGTCAGTGGAGCCTCACTTCCTCGTTTCCTGGGGGAGGAGAAATGATGTTTGTAAATGTCTGTGTAAATGCTAGGCCCCAGAACAGATCTGCCTATTGATGTGGTTTCATTTTCACTGGCTATTTTGTCTCACTAATTGGCTCTGCTACCTCTTTCCATACTGCTGTGTGCTCCAGTAAACAGGAATTTAGCAATTAAGGATTTTTTTGTATTCTGCTCTGTTCATAGCTTCCCTGGGAATTTGTGATCTGGGTTAATTAGACATCTCGTCTCTTTGTTTCCAAGCTAACTTGAGCAGATGGCTGATTTATTCGCTTATTTTAACCTTAAACAGTAAGCAGAACAGCAAGAGGCCTACTCTGCTTTGTTGTTTGAAAATATGGTTTGAACTGAGTTGTTCTTCCCCAAAGACATTGTCCTCTTCTTACAAATCTAGTGCTGTTTCTAGCCCACAGCACCTCAGTTGCTCCTTCCCTCCGTGTGCGTGGTGCACTTGGCAGGATGCACCTCAAACCATGCACGACTATATGGGGCAGCCTGTGTGAGAGGCCCCGAATGCAGGGAGGTGGCAGCTGAGTGTAGAAGGGTTTCTTGCTCCCATTAGAAGGCGAATGCAAAGAACGTCACCCTTTAGGGAAGGTGGAGAATACTGCAGAGCACTCACAGTGAGCAGCCTGGCCAGCATGCAGGTCCTAGGATGGGACAGACATGCTGGGCATCTGCCTCCTGGAGCCTGCCTGTCCAGATGCCCTCACCACACCCTGAAAGCACTAGCTTGCAGCAAGATTGGTAGGAAATGCAGCGTTGCCTGAAAACAGCTGTGCAGCTGTCCGGCTTTGTAGCTGCAGCTCAGAGCCAGGAGAGGAGGATCGTGAAGAATGACAGCAGTGCCCCCACACACCACCCAGCCCTCTCCTGGCCTGGCTCTTCTCAGAGATGGTGAGCAGTCAGGGCCAGAAGGGGCTTTGAGAGCTTTCAGGCCAGGGCTCCCATTCATCACTTTCATCCCTGCCATGCACAGAAGAATCTTGCCCGTCATACCCTCCCTGTTGGTACATATGGCTGATTTAGGGTGTCACCCTGCTCAGCCTAGTGCAAGAAGCAAGAGCCGTGGGAGGCTTCCCACAACCCTGCCAGATGATGCCTGTGCGCATGGACACGGAGAATGGGGATGGGAGTTCTTGTTGGGCAGCCAGACTGGTGGTGCAGGGGAACACAGAGCCTGGATCCTCTCAGGAAGGAGCCCTTAGTTGGCACCAGCCTGGGGTAACCAGCTGAGTCCAGGTGGCCCAGGGCCAGGGTATGGTACAACAGCCTGGGGTGTGGAGTACCTAGCTCTCATCTAGGATGGCCTGCATGCTTCTGGTCTCCCAACCCAAGACACTGGCAGGGCTGCTGCCATGGGGACCCCTCCTGATGTCACTTTGCCTGTTTCTACAGTAACTGCAGATCTATGCTTTGCCTGCGTGTGTGATTGTGTTCTGTTCTCCTTATAGATGGAGGAGATAAAATTTAAGGACAGAGCAGTCTTCGTGCTGGAGAGAGAGTTAGGGGTTCAAGCCGGGCATGCCCAGAAACTGCAGCTCCAGAAAGAGGCTCTAGATGAGCAGCTTTCCCAGGCCAGAGAGGCTGAGCGGCACCCAGGCAGCCCCAGACGGGAACTTCCTTATGCAAGCGGTGCAGGAGATGCTTCAGACCACTCAGGAAGCCCTGTAAGCACCCCCAGGCCTCACCCCATCTGGCCCGAGTCTCAGACACAGCACCATGTGGCTGCATAGCCCTGTGTGAGCAGCTCCCTGGCCCAAGTCCAGGTAGATAGCCCTGGACGCCCTCCAGTCAGCCCCTGAGCCCTCACTTTATCAGCTGTGGTCAAGAGGGCTGGTAGACTGTCTCCTTCCTTCCTCATCAACAGCAGCCACTAGTCTTTTGTCTCCTGGCCCACCATGTAGATAAGTGTCCTTGATACTTGTTGCCCTTGGCTGGTGGGAGATGAGGTGCTTGGAGCATGTGCTGCTTCCATCCCTGTGTGCACAGGCTTCTGGCTGCCACCTGCCCTCATCTCTAGCTTGGCCCCTCATGCAGTTGTTTCTGGCACTCACATCACCAGTCACGCTCCCACCTGCTTTTCATGTGACCATGCCACTTTCTGCTCCTCCATGAGCTGTAAATGACCATGCAGGTCAGCCGTGCATCACACAGGATGCAAGTCCATCCATCTCCTCATTGGTGCTCCTCATTCAGATTCCTCTGCATTGGTCTGCAGTATCCTGGGAGTTCTAAATCCACGGACCCTTGACACGGTCCCTCTGGGTCGTTGGTCCCTAGCCTCTCCTGCACCCATTGAATGAGGAACTCAAGCCATGTCAGTACCTTCCTGGTCATTCTTTTGTTTAATTAGAGGACCCAGGCAGGAAAACTGTTTGAGCTGAGCCAGCTGTGGGACAGTGACATTGTAAGAAGAGAGAACAGCATTTTGTGGTCATATTACAGACAGCTTAACTGAGATAGAACCATCCCCTCCTGCTCTGGTGGTTGATAGACTATTGCATTCACTCCAGAGACTAAAACTGGATTAAAATGTTTTCACTGATTTTTGAATGGTGTTTCAGTGGTTGCAAAAGTGACCCTCTAGAAACTCAATTTGAGGGAGCACACTTCTTGGGAAAGCAACTTTCAGAAGTCTGTAATGTATGTCTTTTCCTGGGCTCATCCTGTGAAAGTGACTTGCCTGCTGACAGGTCAGGCAGGCCCCTGTCTTCAAGATGCAGCTGGGCAGCAGCTGCAAGGAAAGCCTGTAACTGGTCCACACCACTCTTGTGTGCTGGCACTTGCATGCTCCTGACCTCCACATTTGCATACTTCCAGACATTTTTGCTTCAGTTCTGTCCTCATCTTGCAGTTTTTTTGATGCATGGGCTCAAGGCATAATACTTCTCCCAGGAAGGTACACATCCACCAGCAGCCATCTGGAAGCAAGGGCAGTCACCATGCAGAAGAATTTGGTTTCCATAGTGGGTTGTGGTTGCAAACGTCTTACATATCTGCATCTAGGAACAGTTATTTGCAGTTGATTTTTGTTTTAGGAACAGCAGTTGGATGAAAAAGATGCCCGGCGCTTCCAACTTAAAATTGCAGAGTTAAGTGCTATCATTCGAAAACTGGAGGACCGCAATGCCTTGCTGTCAGAAGAAAGGAATGAGCTGGTGAGTGGTGAGGTGGAGGATCCTTGGGTCTTACAGGCTTGTGGCTGAAGCATGAGGAAAGCTGGGAGATGTCCACTTCCAAACTTCCTCGGGGAAAGGACAAGTAATGGTAACAAGGACCAGCCTTGCATTTAGGCTTCTTGACTGTTTCAGTAAAACTTTATTAACAAAAATAGGGGTGAGACAAATTTGTTCCCTCAGTGCTGGTTGGCTGATCCCTGCTCTGTGTTACTAGAGCTCCGTGTGTGACCTGGGGTGTGTGAGGAGGCTGCCATTCAATGTACCGTCGCTGTGAGTCTTCATAGCCATTGAGATTTCTTAGTGACTTGAGCTCCCAGAGGGTATGAGAGCTGCTCAGAGTGGCTGGAAGAGTCAAAGAGGCCTCCATGATTTTACTGCATCTCTCAGTGGCAAATAACATTGGCCCCTGTTCTTCGACTTTATCCCCATCCAAACATCACCTGGGTGCTGCATGTATGGAAAGCACCAGTCAGCCTGGGGGCTCCACCAGGGGCCAAGGCAAAACTTTGTAAATACAGCTGGCCCTGTGTACCTGCTGGTTCGTTATCTACCGGTTCCACATCTGTGGGTTCAACCAACAGCAGACCAAAAGTATTTTTTAAATCGCATCTCTACTTAACTTGCATTGTCTTTTTGCCCTGCTATTATTCCGTAAACAATACAGGGTAACAACTATTTACACAGCATTTACATTGTATTAGGTATTATAGATAATCCAAAATTATTTCAAGTATACAGGAGGATATGTGTAGGTTATGTACAAATACCACACCCACTGCTTTATAGAAGGGACTTGAGCATGTGTAGATTTGGGGGTCCTTGGTGTGTCCTGGCACCAAGACCCCGAGAAGACAGAGATGGCCCTAGTGGGCTGCTGATAATCCTGTCCTTGAGCTGAAGCTTTATATGGTCAGTTTGTTGACTATGAGTAGAGACCTGTTGATTTTCTGTCACTTAAAAAAATGATCTTGTATAATTAACTTCTATTTCAGTTAAAGCGGTTAAGAGAAGCTGAAAGTCAGTACAAGCCATTACTGGATAAAAACAAACGCCTTACTCGGAAAAATGAAGATTTGACTCACACATTACGGAGAATAGAAAGCAAGTTGAAATTTCTCACCCAGGAGAACATGGAAATGGTAAGGGCCCACCAGGTGTCGGGGCAGCACCTGTGCACAACCCCGCCCAGCAATGCCCTCCACTTCTCTGTGCTATCTAATGAGACAGCAGATCCTGCCAGGCACTTAGACCTCAGGGTCAAGTCTGGTCTCATGGGCAAGGAACCAAGATGAGCCTGCTTGCAAGAGAGAAGCCTCAGAAAAGAACAGATCTTGGGAAGGAAGTGTGTAGTGCCTGCCAGGGCAGAAAGGCAGAAGCAGAGCTGAGCAGGCCATTAAGCCAGTCACCCATCCCCTCCCATCCAGGCCTCTCTGCCCATGTCCAGTGCCAGGGATTTGGGCAAGTGAGGTCCCAACTCTGAAAATCCCAGATGAAGCAAGCAGGAGGCCCTAAGATCCCAACCATGGAGAGGGTCAGAAGGAATAGGTTTGGCACAGAGCACAGAGCCTTGGTTAGGGGAAGCCCCGCTCCAGCCTTGGCCTCTAAGTATGATCACATGTAGTTAGTGGTGTTTTCATGCTCCTTCTGGCCTTAAAGGCCCCAGAGCCCCTGATGCAAGTTTAGCCAATGAGTATTTCAGCATGACTGGGGATGGGGGCAGTGGCAGGAATCCCCCCGGGGCCTTCCTGACAGGGTTTTTCTCTTCAACCTGTGCTGTGGCTTTGGAGCAGGTCACGGGTGCAGGCAGCTCTACAGTCTCTTCCTCAGGGGTGCAGTGGGATCCCGTTCTGGGCAGACTTGGGCTGTGCATGGTGTCTGGGCTGCACAGTCCTGCTGTCACTGTGGGGACCAGCCAAGACATAGGCTTCAGTTTTCCCTGGGCTCTGCAGCCAGCTGCTCTGAGGCCTGAACAGAGCAGCCTGCAGCCAAGGTGACCAAGAGCTGCTCCTGCAGGCACAGCGGGATGACCCCAGCTCTACCGTCCAGCCAGACCACGTTCCTGCCACTTGTGACACAGCCCACTTGGTGTTTCAGAGGCAGAGAGCCGGGATCATCCGGAGACCCAGCTCCCTAAACGACCTTGATCAAAGTCAGGATGAGAGGGAGGTGGACTTCCTGAAGCTTCAAATTGTAGAGCAACAGAGCCTCATTGATGAGCTCTCGAAGGTGACCACATACCACACATCCCTGCCTGTCCTTGCCTCCCAGGGGTGGGGATGGAGGGAAGGAAAAGTGGGCAGGCATTTGTGGGGCCATCTGAAGCCGCATCCCCTGCTATGGTCGCTGTTCAAGGTAGCCCTTCCTAGACAGCTCTGTCCCAGTTGTCTCCTCTCCGCTCTACTCCTTGGGGTCCCAAGGCCAACAGCACTGTCTGTGTTAGTAACAAATCACCATAGCCCAGGTGACTTAAAACCCTGCAATTCATCCTCTCATAGTTCTGGAGTCCACAAGTCCAAACTCCAGGTGTTTGGAGGGCAGGGCTGTGCTCTTTCCAGGGCCTCGAACCCTCCAGGGCCTCTGGGGAGGGTCTGCTCTTTCCCCCAGGTAGACTTTAGAGGGCCTTGGCATTCCCTAGCTTGTGACCATATCACTCCCATCTTTGCCTCTGTCTTCCTGTGATCTCCTCCTCTTCTGTTTGAATATTCTCCTTTCTTCCTTCTGTGTCTTATAGGATGCTAGTCCCTGAGTTTAGGATCCACCCCAATCCAGAAATACCTCATTTTTTCATCCTTCACTTAATTACACCTGCAACAGCCTTATTTCCAAATTGAGTCCCCTTCATAGGTTCTGGAGATTGGGCTGTGGATATATCTTTTAGGGGGGCACCTCACAGGAACTACCACTGCTCTGTCCCTATGTGTTCCCTACAAATAGGAAACCAGTGCTTCGTGAAACTCTGCTACCATCTCACACACACACACACACACACACACACGCACTTTCTACAGCTCCTTGGAATCCTGGAGGATCCACGCTGAGATAACTTCAGAAGGAGCTGCAAGCAAGCAGCAGGACAGCAGTGGTCCTCTGTCACTGTCCGTCTTTTTCAGTGACTACAGCTGCCTCCAAAGTCACATGACAAGGATCAGAAAGACCCTGCCATGGGCTGTGGGAGGGAGTGTCACTAAGACAGTCTACCATGGTCATGCCTGAGCTCTAAATTCTTTTCATATTGAATGACACATTGATCATCAATCTCAACAATAACAATAATTTATGAGAGAAGTAGGAAAAACATGAAGTCTTGGTCAGTTACATACACATAATTGCAATTTCTGAAGGCTTTTTCTCCTGCTGCCCAGTGAGCAGAAGGTCCATCAGCCCTGAAGAGAGGTTCCTGGGGCTTGGAATGTTCAGGTAGCCCTCAGGAAATCCACTCAGAAAAGGAAAAAGGATAGTTAGGGTGGAACCCCCCATGTCAGGACGGTAGTACATGGCCATGAGCAACATGATTCTGTGGTTAGGGTGCAACAGGGACTCAGGGGTCACTCCAGGGCTCTGCAGGCCGCTGCAGGAGCAAAGCCTGCACCTTCTATTCCATAACATGCTGTTTGCTTTCCCTAGACCCTTGAAACTGCCGGCTACGTAAAGAGTGTGTTAGTAAGTACCAATCTGTGTCTCCCTCCTTACCCGACAGTCCCCTGTCCTGTGGTGGCTGTCTGTGGGCCCACTCTGTGCTGATGGTTCCTTGCAGTGTAGACAGAAGCACCTGTCTAATCACAAGTGTGGACACCATTTGTGTGGCATAGGAGAAGCCTGGGCCATCAGATCTCCAGCATCCCAGGTCTTCCCACCAGCCCCCACCCACTGCCCCTAAGATGCAAACCGAAGGGAAGCTGATGGTTGATGGAGGGCAGTGAAGGAGCTCAGAGCCCACCTAAATGGAGGCTCACCAGCCCCAGCCTTCTTTGCAAAATACCCAGTGTTTATGACCGTGGGGACAATCTACCAGTCATAAGACCACTTCCATGCCAGTCCACATGATAAAGTGGAAACATTAAGAATAAACTGATGCAAGGGCCGGGGATTTAGCTCAGTGGTTACGGCGCCTGCCTTGCAAGCGCAAGGTCCCCAGTTCGATCCCCGGTACCAAAAAAAAAAAAAAGAATAAACTGATGGAAATGTTCAACTACTTAAAAAATCTCTCCAACTGGTTTTTGCAGGAGCGTGATAAGCTTTTAAGGTATCGGAAACAAAGAAAGAAAATGGCGAAGCTCCCCAAGGTAAAGGAGGGAACGCTGACTGGTATGGGAATGCATAAAATTTGAGTTTGCAGAAATACATTTGGGAATGATTCTCTTTCTTTGGAGATGAAAAGAAAATAATTTTAGGGGCTGGGGATTTAGCTCAGTGGTTCCATCGCTTGCCTTGCAAGCACAAGGACCCGAGTTCAATCCCCGGTATCAAAAAAAAAAAAAAAAGAAAGGAAAAAAAAAAAGAAAATAATTTTATTACTTCTAAAAAGTTGTTATTCTGAAATAACTAAAATAGCACTCAAAGTAAATATCCTGGCTATAATTTTAAATTTTGCTAACTCAGATCAAATCAACGTAGCTGAAAACAATTATTATATTTATTTGGGGTTCATAAGGGCTGCCATCCAGGAGACACTAAACTCAAGCAATCTTGAAGATGAACTCCAAGGTTTTTCGCAAAGTGGTGGCTATATTTATACCTCAAACTGTTTGTCGGGAATGCTGATTGTTCTGGCACAGTTTATTAAAAAAGATTGTGCACAGCCTCAGTCTCTGGGCAAATCAGGGAGGAAGTGGGTGGTTTCACTGCTGTGGCTGATGAGTTTGGATCCAGAAGTTGCAGTGCAGCCAGTTCTCGAGGTCAACTACTTGTGCGGGCTGCAACAGCTTGTGTCCACGGCCCACATAGGCCCCACACAGCAGATCTGCATCCCTAAGAAAGTTAAAGCCCTAAAGGAATTTCTCTGGAGTAAAATCTTTTTTGATAAACTGATTTTTATTAAGGGAGTCACTGGATAAATTCCCGAAGGACCTAACTTGTCTTCAACTCTCTGCAAAATATGTGTGTGTGTTGTTTTTAAACACAGTTCAATGCTCTTCAATGGGCCATTAGATGCTCTTTAGCCAAGATACTTGCTTGTCTGGCACTTAGAAAGGCTCAAAGGAAAGGAAGAGGTTGCCAAGGCCCCTCTTTTTGGAATCACTTCAGGGCACTAGGAAATTACCCAGAGGTGCTGCTACCCTAGCTGTCCAGGTGCTTCTGGGAGAAAGGAAAAACTGGACAAGTAAGCCTTGCAAACAAGGCCTAGAATCGGGCTGTAAAGGACTCCAGCTATATTGACCTTTGAACAGTGAAGAGCTGGAACATGAAGGGGCCAATGATGCTTCAGCAAAGAAAGACATCTCATGACATCAGCAGGGCAGAGCAGCAGGAGGGGAAATCAGGAGGTTACCACAACCTGGAAAGAGTAAGGAAGAGTGTGTCAGGGAGATGGGAGCAACTGGCATCCAGACTGAGGATAGCTGTATGACTGGAAGAAGCCAGGCCTCCCCAGATTAGGGTGACACAAGAAGGCCAGGCTCCCCTCAGACATGAGATGACAGGAGGAAGCGAGGGCTCTGAACAGACATGGGATGAAAGCAGGAGGCCAGGCCTCTGACTGGACATTGAGTGACAGGAGAAGGCCTGCCCCCCCCTCCCCAGACATGGTCTGACAGAAGACGCCAAGCTACAGGCAAGGTTGAAGATAGACAGTCAGAGACCAGAGGAGCAGACAGCAGGGGCTGGAAATTCAGTAAAAGAACCTCAGTTTGTGCTTATGTGTGCCTGTTTTCTGGGTATTTCAGCAGGGATCTGGGAAAAGATTAGAGTACATGTAAAGACTTTCTCAGAGAGGCCACAGCTCAATTCAGCAAGTGTCAGATGGTCACTCAGCCAGAGAGGCAGCTGGTGGTCAAGGGGAAGAGGGGAATATCCCAGAGTTCTGATTTGGTCAGCGGTCAGAGGTCAGAGGATGTGCGTATCTGGGAAGGGCTTTTGGAAGAGGGACAAGTGACAGTGGTCTGCAGGATAGCTGGTGGTCCTGGGGCCCAGAGAGGAGCTTCCCTTAGAAGGTTCTGGTGGAATATACAACAGGGGGACCTGGTGGGCACAGCAACCAGATGCTGATTCACAGAATTGGCCAAGGAAGGGGCCCTAAGTGACTGAAAAAAGATGGCTAGCTTTTGGATTTTATAATATTTCTTAAACCTAGGATGAGGAAATCTAAGAGTTTATTGTTGTTGTTATTTATTTATTGAGTTGCTGGGGATTGAACTCAGGACCTCTGTGTGCTAGGCAAGTGCTCTATAATTGAACTACAACCCCAGCACTAAACATGAAGAGTGAGGGGCTCCTGGGGGATTCCCAAAGGCAAGGCCTCTCAAACAAGGCCATGGAGGACTCATTTTGTTTCAGTTTTTATTCTAATCTGTCAAGAACTGATTCTTGTAAAAACACAACAGAAATTTATGACTGGAAAAGTGACCATATATCAGAAGTGCTTACTGTTGGTCCTGTGTTGGTTCCTCATACATGAAGGTCAAGTCCAGCAATCGTTTATCCATGGAAATCCCAGTCATTTCTCCTTCCACTCTCCACCAGTTCAGCTCTGGGAACAACCAAGATGAGGTGGTCACAACTAGGCCACCATCTCAACCTGTAGGAGGGCAGCCCCCCAGCTTCCCTAAGGGCAGTTTCAGACAAAGACAGCAGTGGATTGCAGGGTGGGACCATGCAGTGGCTAGACAGCTTCACAGCTATAGGCCCCAGAGCTGGGCAAGAAGAAGAGAAGGTGGGAAGCGGCCTAGGACTGTTGGTCAAGCATTAATGTGTCACATTTTGGTCAGAAGCCGGTTGTTGTGGAGACTTTCTTTGGATATGATGAAGATGGTTCTTCCGATGGCTCTTCCATCTCTTATCAAACTGACAGGACAGACCAGACTCCTTGCACCCCGGATGATGACTTGGAGGAGGTAACTTGGGACTCCCACAGTAGTTCCTGGACTTGCCAGTTCTTGTGAGACATAGAGGCAGGGTGGGGCATGAGGTGGGGTGGAATTGGGGCCAGGATCTCGTGTGAACCCTGCTCCCCATGAGGGCCTCCCCAGCCCAAAGCCCTGGTAGCCCATTCTTTTGCACAGTGGCAAAGACCTTCTGCATTTCTTGGCTGCCTGGTTGCTGAGGATTGTTCCTTGGTTCCACCAATTCCCAGTCATACATCTTCCCTGTCATCAAGCTTGAGTCTCTCCTGCAGCAGGGCCTGGAAGAGGGTCCCCCACCCTCTTTAAGGGCTTTCCAGGAAGTTCTGGATCATCCTGCAGGGAGGTTGGTCCTATGCCAAGAACACATCAGACCCTTGAGACACTGAGAGGAGCTTTTTTTCTGATGAAGACAGCCAGACATTCCCTCCTGCTGGAATGATGGCCACCTTCAAATCCACCAGCTGCCCGCCCCCATGCACATACACCCAAGGACTGATCTGACTGGCCCAGGTCTTGTGGCTATAGACAGGGAGTGGCATCCATGTCCTTGATCAGGTCTAGTGGCAAGTGCATGAATGGAGCCTGCTTTGACCAATCCTGAAGGATGGACCAAAAACCATGGACCTGCTTAGAAATGAGATAGCCCAGCAAGCCCATGCCAGCAAGCCTCAGAGAGTAGGCAGGGGAATGGGGAGGTAGAACCAGGGCAGGATTTCTGACCTGGTCACTCCGGAACATGGCCCACTTTCCCAACCCTGGTATCCTAGTGACTCTTCCAAGGCAGCAGTAGATCAATTTGCACCTGCCTTTCCCTGGAGTTGCAGTTGTCATTGCAGCTAGAAGGATGATCCTGGAGATAGCACTGCAGGAGCAAGCCTGGGATGGACAGGCCTGGGATAGACGGGCCTGGGATGGACAGGCCTGGAAGAAATGTGTTGCCTGGGCTCTGCACTCCTTTCACAAACCTCAACACACTCCTCATGACACATTTCTGCAGAGCAGAGCCATATGAGATCCTGGTCAGCAACAATGGCTGCAATAGGTCAGAGCAGCCAGACTGGCAAGTACGAGCCCCAGCTTAGGCTCTGGCCATTGGCTGCCAATCCACAAGGTTGACCTTTGCCAGTGAGTGGCCAGCTCAGGCTCAGAGGTCACCTCCAGAGGAACCTTCTCCAAAGCATGCCCCTCCCCACATGCTGCCAGAAAAATTCCTCCATTCTACCTCTGTGGAAAGAATAGGAACCCTGGCTGTCCAGGACAGTGCTGTTGCATGGAGCTCATGCTAATGTTGCTTCTCTTTCTGTGTGCATGTGGTGCTGCGTGCCTATCCAGGGCCTGGCCAAGGAGGAGACGGAGCTGCGGTTCCGCCAGCTGACCATGGAGTACCAGGCGCTGCAGCGAGCCTATGCCCTGCTGCAGGAGCAGGTTGGAGGAACACTGGATGCAGAGCGAGAAGTTAAGGTCTAAATGACTTCTATTCCACGATGTTCCAGCTCCCGCTCAGCTCCTTCCCACTTATCCCCTGTGGCCTACGCAGGCACACTATGTGTGCCCAAACTTTCAGGCCAAGCCCCTTCCCTCCCAGTTACTGCCAGGCCTGGATGATGCTCACTGCAGCCATTAAAAACCAGTGTTTGTGGAGCCCCCAGCTGGGTAATCCCCGGGCAGGAGGTGGGACTTGCCAGAGCTGTGCCAGTATGGGGTGGAATGTCAGGGTCCTTGAAGAGCCAAATTTGTCTCTGCCAAGGGCTGTGGCCAGTTTACACGGAGCCTGCAGAACCTTAAAATAAAGTCATCTTCTGCCCAAACCTGCCGGAATGCCCTTAGGGAGCTCCCATAACGGGGAAGCACAGAGATAAATCAGGAGCAGCATTTAAGCTTAGTATTTTTTTAACTTGCTGAGATTGTTCATTCATCCAACAAATCTTGAGCTCAGGGCCTGCCTTGTGGAGCAGCATTGTCCTCTCTCTGGACATGCCCAGAGCAAGTTAGTTGCTGGCATCCAGGAAAGGCTGGAAAATGGCCAGGCGCCCTCTTCTGGCTTCTAGGGGCAGTGTCAGCACCAGGCCACATGGGGAAGGCGGGTAGGGGTTCCCTTGCTGCTCCAACCATATCTCTGCTTACCAGGGGAAGGTATTGTGGCTGGTGTACCATGTAGGGAGACACCTCTTCCTGGAGACGTGAGAGGTTATCAAAAACAGACAGCAGAGGCATCTGACATTGCAGTCAGTCCTGCTTCCCCTAACCACTTTTCAGGGGAAGGGGTATCATCACCTGGTGGTTCTGCAACTTAGGGCTGTGGTCTGGGTAGAGGACAGACCTCTCAGAACGAGGGTACTCCAGATGCATCTTTCATACTCCATACTCCAGATGCATCCTCCCAGCTGCTCTTGGGAGCCTCCTGACTACCCTGCTCTTCTGGCAGGATGTCCCCTCCTGCTTTCTGGGAATTTCACTAAGGTCACCTGTTGTGAAATCCTGAAGCAAAGCCTTGCCCTGCTGTGCTTTCAGTGCCCCTGGTGGGCGGGGACTTACCTGTCTATGGAGGTCACTTCCTCTCCTCTGGTTCAAAAACCAGAGAGGAAATGGAAAGAAAATTTCTCTGCATAAAAGGGGAATTTAAATGTCTCCTCTTTAATCCTTATTTTAATTTAAATTTTGCATGATACTAAGATAAAGGAAATTGTCAGACACAGTCTCTGTCTCAGTCATCCTGAGGCTAAGGACCAGAGCTCTGTCCTAGGGCTAAATTGTTCTAAGACTAGGGGCCAGGGTCCCACCATGAACCACACCCTGCCCTCCTGGGGTGATGGACCTCAGCCCCTGTAACCTGGGATCACCAAATGATCTAATGCTCATTTGCCACAGACACTGTACCCAACAAGAGAAGGGATAGCCCATAGGGTAAAATGTTCATGGTTTGGACCTGAAGAGAGCAAATTAAATCAAGAAGGAGCAGCTTGGCCTGGCTGAAAGCCCAGGTGGTGCCCAAAAGGAACTTCTCAAGCCAGGGGCTCATTTGTAAATCATGGAGTTCATCCTCCAAACAAGGGACAGGATCCAGGGGTGTTACGGGTACAAGGTGAAGAAAAAGCAGTGAACCTAGGCCAGCAGCAGCATGATTGCAAGCTTCTGCAGATTGTCTTAGAAAGCCCCTCATACTAGTGTGTCCAGCACCAGCAGGCTCAGCACATGGGCCCAGGCATCCTTGTCAGTTGTTTTGCCCTGTAAATGAGGGTTTTACCAAAGAAGCTCTCAGAACTAGTCCACAGATGTTTTCTGCTATGCCCTAGGTGAGATCACTCATTTACACAGCCTCAAAGTTCTTCCTTTCTTGGAAAATATTCCATTAAAGGAGAGGACCGTCACTTCTCAGTAGCTAGACCTGAGGCAGTATCCTCTGAAGCCTGTGTCCCTGTGAGCATGTCTGTCTGTCCTGGCTGTTAGGGAAAATTTGATGTGTCTTTGCTCCTGTCCTACAGACCCGTGAGCAGCTGCAAGCAGAGGTGCAGAGGGCACAGACACGGGTAGAAGACCTGGAGAAGGCACTGGCAGAGCAGGGGCAGGTGAGCTCCTCCCAGCAGCGCTCATGGGTGCTGGCATCCTCCACCCACATTAGGGGATCTTTGGAGGAATCTGGCCCTTGGGAGCTGCCAAGCCTCCATCATCAGGAGGGTGGAGGGACCTGGGTAAGAATTATTCAACACATGCTGAAAATTAGTAGCTTTAGCATGCTTTACAGTATATTTACAGGCAATAAAAAATTCTAAACACTAGAAGGAATTCTGTGGCAAGCTGTGAATGAGGTAGAAATCTGCCAACCATGGGACAAGGCCTCTCCTAGAGTTGACCATGGCATACTTCATTAGTCCTCTGACTCAGGGCCAGGATTTCAGGTACTACACCCCCTGCTGCTGATCCCAGAGGGAAAAGCCCTAAGTGGCATCTGGCAGGAACAATATTTTCTGATTTGGGGCTCCTGGTAGAGTAAGGTGGACCGAAGTGCAGGTCATATGCTTTGCCAGTAGCTTGTCATTGCTTCCCTTTCCACACTACTGTAAACAACCACCTCTGGGTCCTTCAGGTCCCGTGGGGGACATCTGTTCTCAGTGGCCTAGTGCCTCAGCATCAGTCTCTGACCTACTGGGCCTGAGACGAGGCTGGAAGATGTCTGTGTGGGGTGGGGAAAGCTTGTGAGAGTGTTCTGAGAGCCAGGCCATGCTTCCCTGGGCTCTGTCCTGCCCAGTGCCAGGCCCATGGCATCCTTCACATGTTAACTGATAGATGGACAGACAAAAGGACACTGAGAGCAATGGCTAGACCACATTGCTAACATCCCAGAATTCAGCACTGCAGCACCTGTCTCTGTTTAGCTGACACACACCTGCCCTCCAGGGAACCATGCACATGGGCTTTTGTCAATGGCACTTGAAATATACCATGCACTGCCCTTGCTGACCAGTGGTGGCTCTGGCTCAGATGTCACAGGAATATTCCTAAGACGTCATCTAATATTTAGGGTCATGTCCCAGGTGCTGCCATCCTATTGTTTGTGCTGAAAGAAAAAAAGTGGCCAGGGAGGTTGGAACTTGAAAGGGGAGGAGTATACGAAGGCCACTTCATTCCTCCAGACAGGATCAGGAGGCCTCCGTGCCTCCTTCCCATCTGCCTGTGTGTCCTGAGTGTGAGCCAACAGGAGTCCATCTTAGGTGTCCCATCCTCTCCCGCCTGCGCCCTGGTCTCCTTCACAGCCTGAGTGCTACTGGCCCCATGTCAGGATCCCCTGGACCTGCAATGTCCATGCTGTATCTTGTGCCTCTGGGGATCTGGGCCTGGATGCCGTCTGTGTGGTGGACATGACACCCTTGAGACATCCTCCTGAAGCAGGGCTGCCTCCATGAGCTGTCTGCACGGGATTCTCAAGGAAGACAAGCAGACCCCAGGTTTCCATTTTCTGTGCACCATAAACTGTCACCAGAGGCTATTTTATTTTATTTTATTTTTTGTATTTTTTTGGTACTGGGGATCAAGGCTGGGTCCTTGTGCTTGCGAGACAGGCACCGGAACCACTGAGCTAAATCCCCGGCGAGAAGCTGTTCTAGAAACTGGTGTCATTCTCTGTTCTGCCCAATCATGATGTGAATGTGGCTTTATGCTCTTCTTCTGCTGTGTATTTATGTCTTTACTTCAATTCCATTTTCAAGGATATGAAGTGGATTGAAGAGAAGCAAGCATTGTATCGAAGAAATCAAGAGCTTGTAGAAAAGGTACACCCAAGCCTTGTGGACGACTCCCCTGCACTTATGAGGCACAGGGAGGTCCTGTGGGGTGGCCACGGGCTTGGCAGAGGTTCCAGGCTCTTCTGTGGCTCCTCTTGTGGGAGCCTAGACCCAGTTACTCCTCTGTCTCCTGGAAGGAAAGAACAGGGCCTTTCCTCTGAGTCCAGCAGAGCCCTGTATCTGCAGGGTGTCTTGATTTGTAGTCTGTTGCACTGGTGGGTTCCATGGATGGTTAGAGAATCTTTGGAAAGAGCTGCCCTTTTGAAACCCCTGGTATCATCCCTGTCAGAAGCCATGTTGAGACAGGGAATGTTCATCATAAAGGCTAAATTGTCCTCAGGGAACAGCCCCTTTGAGAGTCCACAGATGAACTTGGTTTTTTATTTCTGGATGAGTGACTGTGTTTCTGACTTGACCAGGAAAACACCTGGCAGGGGTCACTTATGGGCTTTCTTGGTCTCTGGATGACAACAGGCTCCAAGAACGCTGTCACTTCCTCCCCACTCCCTGGCTGGGATTCATTGGTTAGAATGTTTTATCTGATTAAAATGAGTCAGAAAATGTGGTGTACAGCCAGGCTGTTGGTGCCTTAGCTTCTGCCTGGGATCACCGAGCCTTATCCAAGGCTTGCACAAACCAGGACAACAAGACTTACAGTCTAGGGACATCTGCCATGGATATCATGCCCCCTCCTTATTTCAGTTTATCCCATGGGCTGGTTAAAGAAGACAGTCCCTGCATTGAGGGTCGTAGAGTGTGAGTGATTTTTTAGACTACATCGGGGCAGCTCAGTGGGTTAGGTAGTATGGGGTGAGGTGAGGAGCAGTGGTGGCTATGGGGCCAGACACAGAACGGCAGATGGGAGCCTCTAATATCATATAGGAGACACCATCATTACACACTCTGAGGTGCACACACAAACACTTATGTGCACTCAAGCACACACACACTTGAATATATGTACCTTCAGTACCAGCATGCTCATGGAGATGCTCATGTGCACTTAAATACACACACACTTGAACACATGTATATTTAAATGCTCATGCGCACACTTTAACCCATGAACATGCAAAGACTGTGTGATGCACACTCACTTGCACACTTTATTTATTTTTAATAAATTTTATTGGTACATTTTAGGTATAGAATATAATGACACTCATCATTGGAAATTTGCACCTTTACATAGTCTCTCTTGGTTCTTATTTTTCCCCCTTCCCCTGCC